AACTTTCTAAGAGAAGTGAAATTAATGTTAACTAGTCTGGTATTCTTTATGGAAAATATATAATCAAAATTACATAATTTTCACTGTCAACTTCAGATTTAAATAAATATTTATATTAAAATCTTTTAAAGTTGTTTAGAATTAAAAGGAAACATTGGAAAATTTAACTAAAAAGATAAATGTTTATTTACTTAATGATAAGTTTTTGAATTCTGTATCAAGGGACTATAATTCAGAGTTATATTTACCAATTCATTTCAGTTACAGACTATGTAATTTTTGCTCTGAATTTACCATATGTCAGTTTCTGTGTTCATATGCTCATAGGCAACAAAGAGACAGTCCTTGTACTTAGGGAGTTGGCTGTCCAAATGAGAAGTCACATATATAATAATAAAAGCGTAATATACTAATTAGACTGGACGTCCTTCCGGACGACCTTCCGGACAAAAAGCCCGGGTCCTGGGTGCCAGAGGGAAGCCGGTGCTGGCAGCCAGGGGGAAGGAAGACCTACTCTTGCACGAATGTCATGCATCGTGCCTCAAGTAGAAATAATAATGTTTGAAAAGGACTGAAAGAGGAATAATAAGGTGCTGCAGGAACCATATTAGTAGCACCAAGTCATTCTGGGTGCTACTTTCCTTTCTTATTAAGAAACAACAATACTTAAAAAATATTATGCTTGCATACTAGAATGGATTTGATTTTAATGTATTTTTTTTTTCCGTTTAGCCATGCTCATGCTTTTCTATACTACCACATGGTAGATACTTTAGTACCCAAATAAGTGATACTTTAGTATCACTTATCTTTAAAGTCTAAGTAAACTTTCATGAACTTTTTTTGTATTGCCTGGTTTAGGTTGTAAATTCCTGAAGGGAAGATCTTTGACTTTGATATAATCATTATTGGAAAGTGCCCTTAAAATAATTGTTTTTTTTTAAAGATTAAACTTTTTATTTTGAAATAATCCTATATTCATCTGTGGTTCAAGAAATAATAGATTTGTACTCTTTACCTAGTTTCCTTCAATAGTGATATCTTATAGTAGCATCAAAATCAGGATATTTCCACAGATACTTATTGTAGCCAAGAGAGAGAACAGTTCTTTCACTGCAAGGATCCCTCCTGCTGCTCTTTGGTAATTACGGTCAATTTCCCCTTATTCTTACCACCCTCCTCCCAGTTAACCCCTGGCAACCTCTCATTTATTCTTTACTTCTATAATTCTGTAATACCTATAGTCATTTCAGGAGTGATATATCAATAGAATCATATAGTGTGTAGACTATTTGTGATTAGCTGTTTCACTCATCATAATTTCCTGCAGATTTATTCAAGTTGCACACCCCACTAGTTCATTCCTCTTTATTGCTGACTAGTGTTCAATGGTGCGGCTATATTAATTTAACCATTCACCCATTGGAGGACAGCTGGCTCATTTTAGGTTTTTTGGCTATTACAAATAAAGCTGCTATAAGTATTCTAGTGCAGCTTTTTGTGTGAGTGTGAGTTTTTATTTTTCTAGGATAATTGCCCAGGAGTGTGATTGCCAGGTCCTATGGTAGTTGCTGTTTGGGTTTTACAGAAACTTTTTAACTGTTTTCCAGAGTGACCATACCATGTTGTTTTGATAGTTTCTAGTTTAGAATAACCTTTGAATATCTAGTTCTTTCTAAATGAAAAACTTTGGGGGGGAGGGGCATTTGTCTGTTAAGTAGATTTGTATTCTCTGCCCAGATTAATAAATTTCAGTATTAGAAAAGTTTTTCAGAAAATGAAAAATATGTTTTGGTCTTTTATTCTTTGTCAATCAGTTATAAAGGGTCTGTTATTCAAAAATTTAATGAGACCAAAGGCTTTACACATAGATTTTGACTATGTCTAAGGGAAAGTGAATCTAATCTGTACATGATATATTCTGGATACTAATTATCCTATATAATAAAAGGGTAATATGCAAATTGACCCTAACAGCAGAATCACTGGGAATGACTGGTCACTATGACACACACGACCACCAGGGGGCAGATGCTCAGTGCAGGAGCTGCCCCCAGTTGGTCAATGCGCTCCCACACGGGGATCTCTGCTCAGCCACAAGCCAGGCTGACGGCTGCCAGCACAGTGGTGGTGGCGGGAGCCTCTCCCACCTCCTCAGCAGCGCTAAGGATGTCTGACTGCAGCTTAGGCCTGCTCCCCGCTGGCAAGTGGACATACCCTGAGGGCTCCTGGGCTGCCAGAGGGATGTCTGACTGCCAGCTTAGGCCCGATCCCCCCGGGGAGTGGGCCTAAGCCAGCAGGTGGACATCCCCCAAGGGGTCCCAGACTGCGAGAGGGCACAGGCCGGTTTGAGGGACCCCCCCCCCCCAGTGCACAAAATTTTGTGCACTCAGCCTCTAGTAATCTAATAAGCTTCATCTTCCCTTTATCTAAAGAGCCTTTTATTTATATTGATATTATGTAACTGTTACTATAGTAACAGGTTGGTTTCAGAATAGGTAAGAATTTAAATATTTTTAGAGGTACTGAATCTAGCTTTAAGAATTAACTTTGTTTTATAACTTGATATTGCTTAGTAGACTAAATTGAGATTGTTGACTTAAAACATCAACAATAAAATTCCTAAATGTTGGGAGGTTTTATTTAACAATTTTCTTAATTGTATTTAGGTATGTGTTTCTGATTTGGAAAGTACAGAAAAGCATAAAGAAGAAAGTAAAAGTTTATAATTTTACCATATAGTAATTACTAACATTTTAGTGTTTGTTTTTTTCTTATTCCCTTCCTTTTCCTCCAGTGTATCTCATAAATGCACGGACATAGATGCATACTCACATTATACACTACATGCCTATTTTTTAAAATTGGGGGCATATTGTTTTGTGACATTTTAGTTACTGTGCCATATAGTCATTTTATTTTTTAAAAAAGTTGTATTGTTTTATTTTTATTTAATTTATTGGGGTGACATTGGCTAATAAAAACTATACAGGTTTCAAGTTACAATTCTATAACACATCACCTTTATTGCTCATGATGATAATATTTGGAGAGTTGTCTCCTACCTTTTCACTTCTTAACCATGTCTTCATTATGAGTTGATTCTATACATACACACATACACAGCCCCACTCAAAATGTTGGGAGCAGTGAAATAATAACTATTTAGTTAGTAATAATATAATTTTGTTAGATGTGGCTGTGACAGTTATTTATTCTTTAGTTACACTGCTATGCCTTTGAATAATATGAAAGAATACACAGAACTGACTCCATATTATTTTTATCATCTTTGTCTTTATTTTTTTCTGTGAACATTTATTTATTAAGTACAAAGCACTTTGGTAAGTGTTGGGCACAAGTATAAGCCATTAATTTGTCCTTAAATTTAATTTAGTTGAGGGAACAATGTATAACTAGATGTGGATTTAAAATGAATAAGTAATTAATCGTCCAAGATAACATATTTATGTCAAATATGTGGTTGACAGTACATTTCTTAGGACTTTAGAAAAGGGAGTTAGCTTTAGGCTGGGGTCAATCAGAGAAGCTTTTATGATTTACTTGGGACTTGAACCTTGAAGAAAGGAGAGGACTTGGAGGAAGCTCCATCTTAGAGATGTGTCATCGGTGACTACAGCACAAAATTCTTGCCTTTCCAAAGATTGCCAAGTTGGGCCAAGGTTTAGGAAGAACTGCAAACAAAGGATAAGAAATATTTATTGAGCATCTATTGTGTTAGGTACCGTAGGTGAAACTGGAGTTACGAAAATAATAGTCTCTGCTTCCGAGGACCTTAAATATTACTGGGGAAGAGAAATATGTAAATCAGTGGGAGTAAAGCACATCTCTCTCTCTTTTTTTTAGTGTTGATAGTTATCTAGAAATAGAAAACAGTACACTGTTTATACTGTGTAATTATGAATATAAATTTTGCTAGTTATGTTTGTGTTGTGGGGTCAGGTAAAGA